ACCTCGGACCCGCGAATAGGCCCACACCCCAGCGGCGCCAGGGGCGGAACTGGGGGCACGACAGGAGCCGGCTTCGCGGCAGGGCCAGCCCCCGACGGCCTGGCAACTCGGGAAGGCGTACCACCTATGACGTCGAGGGTCGGACTAACCGCGTCCAAATCGCGTCCAAATCGCGGTACCTTTTGCGCCGCGCCTCACGCGCCTCGTAGCCTACGCCCCCGAACGCGCCCGTACGAGGGAGAGTCGTCGGACCCGATTCGGAGGAGGACGCGAACGTATCGTTCCGAATATCGTATTGCAGGAACGCCGCCCGCTCGCCGAACGTGAAGTCAGTCCACAGGCGCCGGGCCTCCTCGTCGACGCGAAGCGCGCGTTGCAGAAGCTCAATGGCAGAGCCGAAGGTCCAGAGGAAGTGCGTAGAATGCCACTCCAGAGGATGGAGTGCCACACTTGGAAGTCCCATAGCGACCCTCTCCAAATATGCAAGCGTGGCGGGGGGCTGGATAAACAACCGCCGGTTGACGCAGATCTCGCTCATTATGGCGCTGGTCATAGACCAAGCCCATTCGCGTTCGCAGTTATACGTGAGGAGGTCCCAAGCGGGATGGCGGCGGTCGAGACATGCGTATCCAAAATGCTTCAGGATGAACGGTAGCAGCGGATGGATGCCCAAAGATGGGAAGGAAGTACGGAGCGCGTCAGGTAAGGCCGGGAAGTGAGCGGGGGTGAGTCCCCCTTCGAACGAGGCGGAACGGAAAACGCGACCGTCGACTTCATCGATCCTCCTGTACGCCGACCAGTCGTGATGCGCCACCGCAATGCCGTGGAGGCGCATCAACGCACTCGCGGACTTTTGCAGAGACACGCGTGGTTTGGAATACGCGTACGGCCGAGGGCACACGTAAAGCGACGAGATTCCAGACAACACAAACTGGTGCGGACCACCGCGGGGACCAGAGAACATGGCGGAGGCCATGCGATCGATGTACTCCGCCTCCGCCGGGCTGTACGTGAAGGTGCGATCGCAAGGAATCTCGTCCGGCACCTGGTACGCCGTGCCCCCACCCTCGGCCATAAGGCGGCCGAGAGCCGCTGACGACTCCGCCGCGAAGCCCGCCTCATGGATCTTACGAATGCGCACGAGATCTGGGCGGAGGCAAAAACGTGCTAGCAACTCCGCCACGGTGACTCGAATCCGCGCATGACGACGCCACGGGTAGCGCAGTCGGCTGAGGGGGAGCGGCACGGAACCTTCCCAAGGCATCCCCAACCACTGGGTGGTGGACGGCGCGGCGGTGGTGTCCTCCGCCCCAGGGCGTACGCGCTCACTGACTGTCGCTCCGGGACAGCGGCAACTCCCACAAGCTCCGTATGAACCCTCTTCGGGTTGGTAAAGCATCCCCGTGGGGGCGGGAGCCAACGGAAAACCGCCTACGCGCGGAGTGGACGCGCTCTCCCCCTGCGATGCAGGTATCGCACAGACGTCGAGAACGACAGAAACCGTGGAATCGCGTGAGCGGGCCCTCTGGAACGGGGAACGATGCTCCCCTAAAGGGTTCCCCGAGGCACTTGGTGACATTGTGGTACCCCGAGCGGCGTCGCTGGCCGACAGGGTCGATAGCGGGTCAGGAAGTGAGCCCGAAGGCCGCGGGCCCGAGCCCCTGTCGTTGACGTGGTTGGGCATCTGAGAGGAGGACCGAGCGCGGTAAGACGGGAAGAGAGCGTGTCAAGAGCAAAAACCTCCAGCTGCACGACAGGCCAGCCCGCGACTAGCGGGGAGTGGGGCAGAGCTTTTGGCGCTCGATCAGTTGACGCCTCCGCCGCCGTCGTGGCTGTGGAAGAAAAAAAGGGGGAAAAAATGGAGGGCAAATTTTCACTTCATCAGCACATTTTCAGCATATGGCGTGGCGTGGGTCGTCGGCCTCGACTATAACCCCCCCCCCGCGCGCTACCAAAAGAGTGAACGCGGACGTTCACCCTTGAGGGGGGGCTCTGTAGCATAATTGCGAGGACGTTATTCGAACGCGCAGGGTGACTACTGTACTCCCGCAAAATGCACTACAGCGCGCACACCCGCGCCTGTAAGTACGCGCTTGCTGCTCGCTGTGCACGTGTACAGCGTGACGATCCGGAGTAAGGCGCGCGAGCTTACCGTGTAAGGCGCTACCTAGATACTGTAGTATATGTTATGATAGATTATTTACTTGTATATTAAATGACAGGGCGGCCGGCGGCGGAGGGAGGACAAGGACAAGCACGGGCTTGGTACCAGATCCTCCACTGCAGGTCTAACCCCGTCCGCTTATTCTAAACGCGTTCTCTTAACGCGAGCGCGTTAACTAGAAACTAACGCGGGTAGCGGTCGCGAACGTACGCGCGCGAGCTGGATCCGCCTCCGCCCGTTGGTGCTAGAACGCTAACTAGCGCCGCCCCGGGGCGTCGAGCACGTCGAACCGCTCTACCGCGTACTGTGTTCGCGTCCGCTCCCCACCGCTCTACCACGCTACCACCGCCCGCGTTCTTTTCTGGTGTGTGTGTTTTTGTCCTCTCTCGCGTACACAGGTCTTCGAAGAACCACAGCTAAACCCCCAACGCGACCGGGGGTTTATGCTACAGTGACGTCTCCTCCGCTGTTGGCGCTCTCGAAGTTTGACGAACCCTTCGTGGTTGAGACAGGTGCATCCAACGTGGCAGTGGGAGCAGTTCTGGCTCAGAAGAAGGAAGACAAGAAGGTTCACCCGATACAATACGCCAGCAGGACGATGACGGAGACTGAGAAGAAGTACCCCACCTGTGAGAGAGAAGCATTAGCGGTGATCTTCGCGCTAAAGAAATTTCGGGTGTATTTGCTCTCAACGCAAAAGTTCAAGTTGATTACGGATCACCAAGCGCTTCAGTATGCGTTCAAAAAGAAGGACATCCACGGTAGACTTGCCCGTTGGATGGATTTCCTGGCGGAGTACGAATTCGAGATATTGTACCGCCCTGGCTCAAAGAATTGTGCCGCTGACTTTCTCTCGCGTCTACGAAAAGACGATGGCAGGCGGGAGGAGGATGAGGGGGACCTGGTATGTGCTGCCGCTTTTGCGAAAGGAGATATACTGGAAGACATGGAACCTCATGTGCGGGACACGTACCGTTATCTCGAAGGAGAAGAGATGGTCGAGCAAGATGCTGCGCAGAGGCGCAGAATCAAGAAGAACTCCAGGCGGTTCCTCGCCTGGAACGGAAGGCTGTTTCGCAGGATGAAGAATGGGATCAGAACAATCCCTTCTCGGGGGACTCGACTGCAGATATTGCGGTCGCTGCATGACGACATTGGCCACTGGGACGCTACAGCTACGAAGCAGTTCGTCCTTGACAGGTACTGGTGGCCGGGAGTTCATGGTGATATCTACGCCTACGTTCGTGGATGTGAAGGCTGCCAAAAGGCTGCACCCATCCCGACGTACAAGAGCACGGCGGTGATACCAGTCTCTCAGCTCTTTGAGACATTCTCGATAGACTTTGCGGGACCCCTTCCCAAGACGAAGAACGGAAAACGTTACATCCTGATAGCGGTCGAACATCTGACTGGTTGGCCCCTGGCTTGGGCAACCGAGACCGCTACGTCTGCGGAAGTTGTCAAGTTCGTGAAGGAGGAAATCATCCATTCGTTTGGTCCACCTCGGACTATAGTCTCAGATAACGCAACATGTTTCAGCGCGACAGCGTTGAAGAACTTCATGGTACAACAGGGAATTTCATGGAAACCGGTCCTCGCCTATGCTCCTATGTCCAACGGAAAAGCGGAGCGTATGGTCGGGACCATCAAGCGTTCAATTCGGAAGACTCTGTTGGGACAGGGCGCCGCTTGCCACAAGTGGGAATCAGCGCTGAAGCAGATCCTGTACGGATACCGCCGACGCCGGCTGTCGGACGGGTTCTCCCCGTTTGAGCTGATGTATGGAGTAAAGCCGCCCGCGCAACCCCAGACCGAACTGAACCAAATCCGGTGGGGCGGCGTTGAGGCGCGCAACTTGGAACTGTTAGCGACGCTCGCGCTCCGATCGACGAGGGCGGCTAAACAGTTGGAAAAGAGGAGCAAGAGAATGACGGTTGTGTCGCCACGCCAGTTCGACGTACACGATCAAGTTCTGGTCGCCCGAGGAACAGCCCTAGGAGGGTTACAGAAGTGGCCCCTAGGGGAGTCGAAGTACTACGGCCCATGCCGGGTAGTACGAGCCAAGCACCTGCGGTACACACTCGTGTCGCCGGGATTGCGCTACAGTCGACGGGATATACATGCAAGACGTTTAATCCCTTTTATTCAGAAACCCGCACATCTTATGTAGGTGTGATGCATTTTAATATTTCGTATGTACTAGATTGAAGGCGATTGAGATTGATTTCGTTTCTTATGCATGAACTATCAGTGTTTGCTGCTTGAAGAACCCCTACGCACGGCAATTACCTTGCCATGGGAGGATTTGGGGCCACGATTTCCTCGGCGAACCTTTTTGGATTTCCTCTCCCGGCCGGGACTCTGATTGGCGTCTCTACGCTGCTGGGTTCTTCGGCGCAAGAGACGCACATCATCGAAGTACTGGAACTTTGACGCATCGCCGGCGGGACAGCACAAGCGAAGAGAAGTGTCCTTGAGCTGCATGGCGAAACGTTCTGCGCAATCGTAGATCAGCGCCGGTTCCGTCCGTGCGTCAATGCAGACGGCGTGTTGGAGATGGTTACCGTCGGTGATGCGAAGAACGTAGACACCCGCTTGCTCCCGCGGCAGACGAAGTAACCAGCTAACAGCAGAGCTGCGCCACAGAGGAAGTCTGGAGCTGGATCTCCCTTGGATGAAAGCCCCCGGCGGTGGGGCCACATGATCAAGAGAAACTGTTCCGTGGTGATCTGCTCGGATTACCCTCTGAATGTGCGTAAAGTGGTGCCCGCTCGGGGAATAGTCCATCTGACGCTCGAACGCGGCGACTCGGGCCGCTTCCGCCACCCATAGGTGGTCAGCAGCACCGCGACCAACGACAAGGAACATAGCGTTGCAGACCGCAGACCGGATGCACAAGACGGTATTGTCTTGGAACGCTACGGTCCGGGACGTGCAAAGGTACCGGGAAGCGAGTGGGGAGACGCGTGACATAGCAAAGTTCACTCGCTTCCTCTTCCCTCTCATTCTGGCTACACCAATTGTCGATAGCCAGAATAGCGTCCATACGCGTTGAGCACTCCTTACCGAAGGAAGAGTTGAAGCCCCGGCGGGCGGTGCCGTTCGCAGAGGGCACGCGATCGAAGGTCATCGTGTAGAGAAGTATCATGTACTTCTCTGGACTCCCCTCTCCGACGGCGTAGTGGCAACCCTTGACCTCGCCGTTACCGCCATCAGAGTACCAGACAAATTCGACGACCCACTCTGGGTCGTCGCAGCAGGTGTACTCCGTCCCGTCGCTGTGACTCTCGGTGAGCCCCAGCCGGTAGCAGCGGTCGGAGGTGAACCATGCCTTGCGAGCGAGGCGGGCCGATACGAAGGCCAACACATGGGCCTCGAAGAGAAGCCGGGCCCCGGCGGCAGATACGGCCGCTACGACGGACGCCCAGTTGCCCACTTCCTTATATTTGATTCGGAAAGAACCATTTCTTACTTGGTACCGAAGCGCGGAGACGTCGGAACGTCCCGCGTGCTCCCAAAGGTCAGGGAGATGTTCGGCATTACTTGGGTCTTCGAAGTCGATGAAAGGGCAATTCACGCCATGAGACGCCCTTTCGGTGACGTCCTGGCCGTTCTGTCGCCACACGCCCGCTGAACGGCGGGCGGCCCTAGTGGCGATAGCGCGGCGTGGTACCTTCCCGCCGGTGGAAGCCCTCGCCGTCTGCTTGGTTCGAGCCATAGTGCGCACAGGGAGTACCGCCTGAAGGACCACAGAGCTCCCGTGCGCGGCTCGAGACGCTGTGCGTTTCCGAGAAGTCCCGAAACGGGGACGACTGGAAAAGGAGCCTCAGGCGACGCGCAGAGCACGCGGCCTGAGTCCCAGACGACGATTGACGTCAGCGACCACAGTCCCAGGCGACGCGGAGACCACGCGGCCCGAGGCTGACGCGAAGCAGACGTTGGGCAACCGGAATTCGGGCGACGCAGATGAAGCGCGGCTTGAAATTGACTGTTAGAAGTTCGACTGCGAGAGAGGCGCGAGGAGGCAGGGAGAGTGCAGTTCAGTGGCAAGGTGGAAAGACGGTGGCCGGGGGGGCCAGAGCGGTCACGCGAGGAAGCGGGGCCAGTATATTTACGTGCAGCGGCAGCCCCGTGGGCTGCCCTGAGGAGGGGGTCATGTGAGATATTTTTAGGGAAATATTTGCATTTTACTGTAGAGGGAGATTTTATTCTGTAGTCCGAGATTTTATTTGAATTTTAGAGAAGCGCACGCGGACGGCCCGGCGGAATCCGGGCCGGATGCGTGGACGCTTCTGGAAGGAATTTCGTAGAAATAAAAGAGAGAGGGTGACGGGCGCTGCGGGGAAGGGGGGACGACACTCGGCGAACCCTCACCACGAACGGCACGCTCCCCAGAACCGCCTCCCCCATTTCACCGACAACAAGCAGTGATGTAATATATAATAAGGGTATTGTTCCCTTGTGCAGTACAATACCCATGGTACTACTGTACTACAGTGTAAGGGTCTACGTGTGTACGTACACTCAGTGTAGTACAGTAGATGGATCCTCTGCCGGATCTATTTCAAATGAGCGGATTCCCTCTCGTACTGTAGGAAGCGGGTCATCACCCATGCTGCTATTCAACATTCGGTCAACCTTTGTATGTTACTCACACCAGAAACTGGCCAACTTTCCTTCCGAACTCATCTTTTAACGGCATTGCGACAGACCCAAACACGTTCTCATGGATGGACAGTGCAATTCTGCAAACATATGGGACCATAGTCGCCAAAGATATTGGTCACAGTGACAGAGATTGCACTTTTACTAAAACAAGCGCAATCTATGCAGCCGCATCCGCAGCTGCATTAGCAAAGCCTTCTAAAGCCATGCGCAGCATCCCCGGAACCTCAACCTTATGTCTCAACCCAATCCACTCCAGCGTCGTGTAAGCGACCGTAATTTTGTTCGTACTTGCCGCTTCAGTCCAGACGGCAATCTTGAGCGGCAGATCCAGTGCGGCCGTGAACGATTGCTGCATGAGCGGAGTCCCCGCCATTGGGTTTCCAAACACAACGACGCGGTTCACTCTCCCCCTGGTCGGCAATCCCGCGGCCTCAGCCTCCTCATCATGGGACACCTGGTACGAGATTTTGACTGGAGCGACGACCTCAAGCGCTTCGATTAGCCCTTCAAAGGCTGCGACGGGGTCACCCTCTACTTTATCTATCTTTACACCATTCTCGTCTCCGACAGGGATCCGTGGAATATCGAAGCGGAGGCCGCCCGGAGAGAGGAAGCGGC